TGCTGCCGCTGCCGCTGCCGCTGCTGCCGCTGCCGCTGCTGCCGCTGCCGCACCGTCACAGCACTGCGACGGTGGTAGCGCTGCCATGAGGTACAGGCCGTCTCATTTTCTTGAGGTCGGAAGAAGGTGTCTTCTGCCTCCGGAGTTCTACAGAGCGCGGCTCTCTGGGAGATGGGTGTAATGCTCAGGGTACCGAGCGCTGTCATTTTCTCTACTGTTGTAAACGAGACGACGTCGGGCGAGTTGCCATGTCTGTGGAAACATCCTAACTCTGCACAAGATTTTTAAACAGCACACTTGAGGAGGCCTTTCATCTAAATGTGTTCAAGGCTTGTTTTCTTTCAACTTAATTGGGCATATGCTTCTGCAAGGGGGGGTTGTTTTTTGTGTCAGGTGCTCTGTTTTGCTAAATTAGAAACTGCGGGTGGATTTTCACTGAACTCCAGAGAGGTCTCCAGGTAAGGGGTAGCTACGGAGCTGTAGCCACCTGTATTGCGATAAGAGCATACTGAATTGGCTGTGTGAAAACCTGCGTGCTTGGCACTAACCGCAAATAGCTAAGCCTCTGGCCAGCAGCTCAGCATTAGCATTGCTTAGGCAGTGTGCGTGATGGTGTTCTCTATTCATAAATTCTACAATTGTGAAAGAAAATGAGCTAGCCTGGCACAAAAATACAGGAATATATAAAAACTTGCATATATAATACATATAAAGAGCAAATTAACTTATTCAGAATGAAACATTTTGAGGGGGGAAAAATGTCAAGAACTATCACTGTTCCACCTTGTTTTCTTGTTTATGGTAGTTGCCAGTGTGCAACTTTGAAGTGCCAGAAATACATAAAATAAGCTGAACTGTGGAAACTCACAGCATGTTATGTAATACATTGATAATGTAATGTGTATGTGTATATGTATATATGTATATGTAATGTAATAATGTAATATAATTAATAATGTAGTAATGTAATAGGGGATGGGAATAGATGCAAACACTCCCCCAGCTCTCTTGATTGTTGCAGTTGTGACTCAGGCAGGGACCCTTCAAGTGCACTGAGAGAGGTGAAAATGGTGATGGATTTAGTGCCCTTTGAGGGAGAGCAGCATCAGAATGTCATGTCATGATGGTAGTTCCTGAGCTCATTCATTTCCATCTGGTCTGGGTGTGGTGCTTCTGATCTGTAGTCCCGATGCTGATTGCAGCAGAGCAACCTTGGAGCTAGGTGAACCTCCTTTGTTTTAGGGAAAAGGATGCTAATGTATCCAGGAGCTCAGGCTTCAAAAGGACAGCAATGCCAACTGCAAAGTGGAACTCATGACTGCATTTCTGAGCAGACCTCCCTCTCTCTTTCTGGTTGGGAAGCCTGGTTGGATGTGCTCGCAGTGGAAACACTGACGTACCTGAGCATCTGTCACTGGATTCCAAGCAAGCCATTTCCTCTGCTCCCAGAACAATGAGGAAAGTGAGAGGAAATCCGAACAAACTCTCTGCGTGACAGGGAAAGGAGAGGAAACTTGAAACAATTCACTGAGCAGCAGTGGAAATGCAAATCCCACTGTGCTCAGGAGCGATTTTAAAATAATAAATTAAAAAAAAAAAAACAAAACACCAAAAAAACTCAAAAAGCAACACCCAGTGTAGATTCTAATTATGATCATATGTTTCAAAACATACAGCAATTTGAGCCATGAGCTTGCCATATAACATTAGTGCTAAAGGTTAAGCCTGGCCAGCACTTAGACATGAACTCTTATAAGGGTCACTAGGATGCCTCAGGAAATGGAGCCGGGGATGTGATGGGAAGTCACTGCTTGTGATTCTTTGTTGAACTCATTGTCCATATAATATGGTAGGTGCTGTTTCTGGTGAAATTTTGGTTTGGGTAATTCCCTTTTGTCAGTAGATGTATTTGAATAGAAGTTCCCTCCTGTCCTAAACTGATGTTGGGAGCATTTGTGTGATAAAACAAATACCACTTCTAAATAGTGATTCCCTTTTTGTGCTTTTCAGCATGCTGCAGATAATACTATATTTAGAAATTTTCACGCCAGGGCTTTTAGACATTGCTTTTAACCAAACACATCCCTAGCCCCAGTCAGGGCTAGGCTCCATCTTCCTTAGAGCAGATGGGCTGGGAGCGTCCGCAGCAGATGAATTTTAGTGCGGGTGTAATGCCAACTGTTTCATAAGGGATGCATAATAAGACAAGATGGACTGTGTGTATAGTAGGTCACAGTTAATGGTAAAAGGTCCTGTCTATCCTCTGGGAGGCTATTGGGGTATTCTGACTCCTTGACTCCAGGTCCTTTGTCATAGACAAATTTTTATGCTTTCTAAACACTTTGTGACTTCGGGGACTTTGTGTTAACATTATGTTTGCATTGAATCATACCTCCCTGCAGCAGTTTTGATAAAAGAGGGCAAAAAATGGCATCAGAAGACCAGGCTTCATAACTGCCAGCCCAGGCTAAACATCAAATCTCACATGTACCCTCCTCCCCCTGCTGCCTAGCTACCAAAGGAAGGGTTCCACCAGCACATCTACTGCTTTGAAGGGTAAATAACTACTAGTAAAAAAAACGCTTATCAAAGACAGTTCCCTCAAATGTTGCTTGTGACTCTAAGGGAGTCACAATATTGGAACTAAGCCAATGCTAATACTAGCATAGGTGAACCCCTGTGTTAGCCCAGGTCACTTCTGGTGCTTTCTTGGTACAAGTTCTGGTGCTCATCTGACCCAGCAGTGAGCTGTTTCAGGGAGGAAGAGGAGTAAGAAATGAATCTTACCCCCAAATCTGTTCTGCCAGCACAGCTCTGAAAGCTGACTCCCCAGGGTATCACGAGATCCAGTGCTGGCTTCATTGGTGGAGAGAGGATGGCACGCTCAGAGCTGGGTGAGTAGGATCTGATCACCTCCTGCCCTGTCTGCTAGCTGCTAGATCAAGAGTAACTGAGTTGTGAGGACTTAGATTCACAGGACAACCTGGCTTAGAAGGTATCCAAGAGCGCTGGATGGGTTTTGGAGCAAACTAAGTCAGACAGCTCCTCTGCCTTGTGTAGGATTAGAGATCTTCCAGCCTGCAAGCCCCACTGCTTGCATGAGCCTCCCTTTGCATTCCTAGCAAACCAACCCAGAGAAGGGACTGTGCTGAGACCTGGCCAGGAGAGTGTGGTACTTTGGGCTCAATTACACTTGCATAGCAGTGCTGTGCAACAACTCAAATCCTGACTTTGAGTGAAGGGTTAACCTAGGGGAAAACAGAAGCAGAAATTTTTGCCTGTGTGGCTGAAACGGGAACCAAAAGTATCTGATTTGTTCGCAGCTGCTGAAACAGCAGCTATGATTGGAGTGCAGGACTCTGTTGAGCAGAGAAAACCAGCCCTTGTGAGGCTCTGAGGTATCAAATTCAGATCCTTCTGCCAGCTAGATTAGTCTGTTCAGAGCTGGTTTTGTTCCTATGCTCTTCCCTGTGTGTGGATGTGTGGACAAAGCTGCATTGCCAGAAAACTGGACAGGAGGTAGAAATATATGTTACATAATTTTCTTTGTGAGGATAAAACCAGACATCTCAGAAGCATGGTGAAGTTGTAACTGATCTGTGGAGTTAGCTGGTGATATGCTGGAGCACTAGGAAAAGTTTTGCATTGTATCTGCCTTTGCATAGTGTGCAGTTCATACTCCCAAAACACACTTACATGCTCACACATACACACCTCAGTGTTTGCATGTCAGAGACCAACATCCACAGTGTACATGAACTAATGTGCACGCACTCACACAGACATAAACACATACACTCATACACAAATGCCAGCTGTGTGGCATGGAGTTAATGACCTCATTTTCCATTCTCACCTTCTGTTCGTATTAATTCTCATGCTCCAGGCACTGGAGCCAGGGGGCAGAAATGTGATCACATGCAGGTGTCCAGAGAGACACTGACACAAAAGTGCTTCATATTTATTTAATCAAACTAGCAGTGTACTTGTTCATTTCTGGGAAACAGGCTTGAGCGTTACAAGCATCTGAGTCACACTTTGAGGGACCAAAGCTTTTGTTCTTATGTGTAAAAACAAATGCTGATGTCATGAGAGGAAGAGACAAAAGGGACGAGAATTCAAATCTTGTGAGATGGAGGGTTGCCCTTCGTAAGAGATTGCTCAGTGTTACAGAATTAGAGAGTGAGTTTTCCTAATAACTTTGATTCATGCATCTGCAGGGAAGTTTCCCTTATCCACTGGTGTATACTTTTGGAGGTGGAATTATCCCTGCATTAACTTGTCTAGTTGTCTTAAGCTAGTTCTGGGGTCTCTTCCTTGTACCTCTTCCACATGCTGACATGATCCCTATCACCATACTTGAGCACTTTTCAATATTTGTCCCAGAAACATACTTGTGAGGTAAGGAAGTGCTATTATCCCCATTTTTAGACAGAGAACTGAGGCACTGAGGGGTCAAAAATCACAAAAGACATATTTAGCAGAACAGTCACTTGAAACAGGGTCCCAGTCCTTCCACCTGCTTCGTAAATGCTCTGCCACTGAATCATCCTATACTCCTTTGCACCCCTCTTGAGTATTAGTACCAATATATATTTTGCTAACATGAAGCCTTCCCTGGGAAGCATTGCTAGGAGTATGTCCAGCTCCCCATGAGTGCTGCCTCCTCCCTCACAGACAAACCACTGTGGGTCTCACAGGCTGCTCAACTTCACGGACGGTGGCATCTCCACCTCTCCAATGTGCTCCCATCACAGCTGGGCTCCAGCTCAGACCAGTAACAACAACCTATGCTTCCCTCCCTGCTTTTTTTCCACCAGTGCCCTGAGGAAGGCTCTTGTCCCAGTGTCACTGACCTGTCCTTCTCTCTGTTTTGGTTCCTAAGATCTGTCACTGATTGACTGTGTTTCACCTATTTTATAACTACCAGCATTCAGGCCATGCTTTCCTTTTCCTACAGGGACTTGCCCTCCCTCACAGCCAAAGAACAGGTAACTTGCTCTCACATGTCACAGACTTGCTTTTTGCCTCGAAGAACAGCTGTTTTCCTTTGGAGCAGAGGCCTCCTTTATAAAAGAGAAAAAGTATACATCTTTAAACACAATATCAAAATCTTAAAATAATCCTATGTAAATAAATAGAACACAAGGATCACAGTTCTCAGCCTGGGGAGTTTTCTTTAAAAGGGGTAATATTTTCTGGCCCTGCTATTTTACCCTGGGATAATGGGCCATCCATACAGTCTGTTGTATCTGAAGCTGTTGCCTTCAAAAGCCTTTCCAGATGTACCTTGGTAATGGGATTGTACTCGGCTGGAAATCGGTCGCTGCTAGTTTTTTGAGGGTACCCCAGCCCTTTTAGCATTCATAGATTCATAACTTATTTACAAACCAGGTTCAGTCAGCACCAGGACTGCAGGGGTTTCACCAGGCTCCTGACCTGCTTCTTTTTGCTGCCTTGGAGAAGCAGAGCTGGGGAGATGGCTGGAGAAACGTGGGTCTGAGAAACAGCCACCTACCCCTGCCTTCAGGCTCTGGGATCTGCTGCTGTATGCACAATAGTCCACGTGTCCATCATAACCTCCAACCTGAATCAGGTGCAGTATACTGTATGGTTGGGGTGGGACGGGGATGGGGG